GGACTTTTTCTAGGGCTCCTCAACGAACACTCTAGCTGGCATATATATATATATCAGCTTGAGATGGTGACTTGAGCAGAAGTTGTAAGGTTTGTCCAGTAGGAACTCAGTCTGATTTGTGTTGACCAAAAGGTCAGGCTGGCCATTACCTTCCTCTGAGCCCATGGTTACTGAGTGACAGGTCTGTCATGTTGGGGTCACTCAACTGGAAAGAGGAGGCATTCCAGTGTAGATTCATTGGTGAGAGGCTGTGGATGTGTAACTTGACCAGAGCATCAGGAATGAAATTATGTGTAGATGGGTGGATTTTGGATAAGTCTACTCAGAAGCCAAGATGATTTTCATTCAGAAACAGGGGCATTTCCCCTTACAATACAAATTGTTCCCATGGTTCTGTGATCTCCTCAGTTGGGAAGTTCCTTCCAATGACAGATTGCAACCCTTCCATGCCTGACCATCCTGGGTGACTCTAGTCCATTTCTTCCCATAAGGTCCCCACAGGAGGTCTGCCCAGTGTGCTGGAAGCTTTCCTCGGTGAATGGTGAATTTGAGCTCAAGATATGGAGAAAAGAATGTCACCCCACCTTCTTCCTAACCCCCAAAGACCAGTGACTTATTTTCCATTTTCTATCACTATCTTGGCTACAGAAAATAACTTTATTTTCCAAGCTGATGTGTCATGTTGGGCTTAAAATTCTCAGAGTTGCTTTTGAAAAATGTTACATATTTACATTTCTTTGGTTTCTGCATTTCTCTTTTTCTTCCCACCCTTTGTGCATTTGTGACCAAGGTAACGCAACGCCTCCCCTCCTCAGGAGCATCTACTATCTTCATGCTTTCTCAAACTTCCAGCAATCACAGTTTCTCTTGGAGTGAATAAGGTGATTTATTTTCTTACTGTCTACAACTGCCTCGCCTTCTGCTTTGCTTTGCATCTTTATTTTGTCCTCTTTATGGAAAAAAAAATGACTCCTTAGGGCTCATTTCCACCTCCTCTATTGATGCATAGTATATTTTGTCATCTTCGAAAAGATCATGTGTTTTACCTTCTAAAATTGACAGCCTGGAGAAGAAGCTATTTACAAGAACTTGGGCTGTAAGTCACTTGAATGGCTGCTAGGTACACAGCAGGGCTTGGAATTTTTTTCTCCACCTCGAGAGATAACTTGGTGTAGTGCAAAGACTGCTGGACTTAAGAGTCAGAAGACTTGGATTTGGGTCCCATCTCTGCCATTCACCCACTGGGTGGCCTTGGGCAAGTGACTTCATTTCTATCAGCCTCAGTTGCTTCCTCTGTAAGATGAGGATGATTGTACTTCCCCTGTGTAGTTCACAGGACAATTATGAGGAAAGCAGGGACTGGGAAAGGGCCTGTTTATCAAGATGGCATCCTTTGCCCAGATTTTTCCTTTGAGCACCCCATGTGGTCATAGCATAATGCACTCAATGGCAATGAAAAGGATGGTGAGGTTTATCAGGTTTATGCTTACCATGTTCTTTGCCAGTGCCATTTGCAGACACCCAAGTTCAACTTCCAGCATGAAAACTAGGTTAAAAGTTGAGTTTCCAAAAACCAAACGAGACTAGTTGTCGAGCTATGGAAATTATTGTTGAGCTCAGTCTTTTGTGTATTTGGTGGAAAATGGTAGTGCATGTTGGAAGTCTTTCACTGTGTGCCACCAGGTAGGTTGCAAGAACTTCAAATGCTCTAAGTATTTTTGCCTCACCATTGCAGAAAAATCTGAACTGTAGAAAAGCATCTGATTCGTTATCAGCTAGACCTTCGGTCAGATCTCTCCTTTTACGAACATTCTCAGACGAATCTAATGTATTGTAACAGGTACCTCCTCATACTAAAAAAGTAGGATGGCTTTTCATGACAAACATTAACCCCATTAAGAGGAAAAAAAAATGAAAATGTTACTCCTTTGGTTTCTGCTGTCAGTGTGATGCACTTTGTAGTCTTTGAGAAGCATAAAGATGAAGGCCTTGGAATACAGTGAGCGGTTTTTGAAAATGTGGTTGAGCCTTGGAAAGCAGAGGGGAGGAATGTTTAGAACGGGAAAGGCAATTTGCAATTCATCCAGCATTCAGTAATCATTTCCCGTGTTCTAGGCACTGTCCCAGGTGCTGGGGAAACAAGGAAAAAATCTGATTTTTCATTTAAAGACAGCCCTTCCCCTCATGTAGCTTATATTCTACTGAGCCAATTTAACCAGTGAGACACATTTGTCATGGTCTTTTCACCATTAAACTGTGCTCATTCCTAATTTTTGTTGGTCTCGACATCTAATTTGTATTTATATGAAGATTTGGAAAGAGAAAAAAGTGTATTCCAAGATCACATCTATAGAATAACAAATTAGTTTTAGCGTTGCATGCTTGTTAGAATTAGGGGATTATCGTTCAGTGTGTCTGTGCCTCCTCGTATTGTTGGTCCTGTCTCCAAAGGTATGTTAAACGTTTCTGTAAATTACTCATTTTAAAAATGTAGCCAGATTAACCACTTTACCCTAATTATAGTTTTCTGTGTTTTGGAGGCTTGGGATTTTTTTTTTAGTGTCAAGTTTTATTCAAGCTTCAAGTCTCTGTGGTAAAAAAAAAAAAAAAAAACTTCCCAGCTATTCGGGGCAATACTGGGATAAACATTCTAGTGGGTTCTTTTCTACAAAACAGTATCGATTGGACAACATCTGGCTGAATGGCTTAGCCCATAATATTGGGGCAGAATGAGTAAGTGCGTGCTTTGCTACAAGCTCATCTTTTGAGTTTGTTCCCTTTACATTAGGGTACATAAACTCCCTGGGGGAAGTACTTGGGGGGAGGCTACTCACAGTGCATCCTAGTTCTTCCTGTACATTCATGTTCATCTTATATCATCTCATTACTGAGCTCTTCCCTTGCCTGCTTGTCAATGGGAAAACGTCTACTGGCAGGTTAGGAGGTAGCCATCTATACCTATTACTGAAACAAAATCTGGCTGTTACTTTTTTCCCCCGAATAAAACTGTAGGGCCACTTTGAGGATGGTATTTGAAAATCAACCTTATAATTTAGGTTGTACTCAGGAGAAAACTGGGCTAGGGGTCAGAAGACCTTGGACACAATTTCTTCCTTGGACCCTTAAGGATCACATCATATCAACAATTCAATTAAATAAGTATTTAGCAAATGAAGTGGCCCTGTCCTTGATGGAGTTTACATTCTACTGGTCATAGATATGAAGATGCTTTATAAAGTACAACATACCACTAGACAGATTTCCTTTTCCCATTATGAATCACACCATATTACCACTGAAAGCTACTACCACCTGGATGACTTCGTGCAAATGACTTCCTTTCCCTGAGCCACAGTTTCCTCCTTTGTGAAATGAAGGGGTTGGATTAAGGGCCCTTCCAGCTCTAAATCCTATGAACTGAATGGTTCAACCCTCTCATTTTACAGAGGAGGAAACTGAGTCCCAGGGATATGAACAGGCTCATCTCAAGTCATGTAGCCATTAATTGCCAAGAGCTAGAACCAAATCCTGGATCACCCAACTACCAACCCAGCGCTCTTCCCACTGCACCAATCTTGTCCTTTGAGTCAGATGGAAGTCTACCCTCTGTTGTCCATTAATCTCTGTCGTCTGCTGCCTTATTGGGAGGAGCAGACAGTTTCATTTGGCCCAAGTGCTGCTCTGGGTCTCCTTTATCTTTTTGGAATGACTCAGCCACTGATTAGTTTTCCCTAGTAAATGAATTGGCTTCTCAATCCTCCTGACAAGTACTCATTGGCAGCTGGTAGTTTTTTTTTTCCCTCTGGGATAGATTTGTCCTGCATTGTTTTTATTTAAGGCTATATCCCCCGTAGAACTTCTTGGACCTTAATTTCCAGGGCAGGTGTTGAGGCTGCATAAGTAACCCAGACTTAGGCTGCCCTGGGATTTACTCCTCCATTTGTATCCTGCTAGAATGAGAATGGATGAGCTGTTGTAGTTTTTGTTTTGTTTTGTTTTGTTTCATTTTCACAAAAGTTAATATGGTTGCTGTCTCTAGAAAGAGGGGCAACGTGGTGAAAGAGCACTGGATTTGATGTCAGAAGGCTTGAGTTCAAATCCCATCTCTGCTGTTTATTCTCTGTATGATCTTGGGCAAGTCACTTCAGTGGGCCTCAGTTTCCTCTTCTGTAAAAATGACCCAGTTGAACTAGATGACCTCTAAGGTCCCAGCATGCTTAAAATCTATGGTCTCTGTCCTAGATTTGAGAGCTATCTCAGTGCCTTCCCAGCTGTTTGACCTTAGGCCAGCTCCTTCCCCTCTTTGACTGTATCTTCATCTTTCCTCTTCCAAAATGATAAAGAATCACAACATTTGTAGTTCGCTGGATCATAGATGCAGATTGAGAAGCTCTCAGAGAGACCATCTAGCCATTAGGATCCTACGTCTTGAGCCGAAAGGAACCTCAAAAGTCATCTAGTCCAAGCCTCTCATTTACATGGGAAATAACTGGGGCCCAGAGGGGAAGGTGACTTGCCCAAGGTCACACCTAGGATCGTAGGTCTAGAGATGGAAGGAACCTCAGAGTCCATCCAGTCCATCCCAAACCCTTCATTTTACAGAGGAGGAAGCTGAGCCCCAGCCAAGGGAAGTGACTTGCCCAGGTCCACACAGATAGTAAGTGGCAGATCCCGGATTCTAACCCAGGTGCTCTGACTCCAGATCCACCCCGCCTTTCTTGGGTCAGAATTGTTAGGCAAACTTTGGAGCAGCCCAAGAGCAAAGTAAGTCTGAAGCTACTCAGTCGTGAATGACAGAGGGTTTATTGTCTTTCCTTTTCCTCTCCTCTTTTATTTTTCTCTGTATGTGAATAAAACTTGGCGCTTTCTTAAGGCAGTACCGTAAATCTCTTCACAAAATGTTTTATTTGATTGACTTTTCCAACATGCGTGCAAGTTGACTCCGTGGGTTCATTTAAGGGGACCTTTGAAATAAGTGTGTCTTTTGAAAAATTTTTCAGGCCTCGAATTTGGAGCTGCCTATGTTAGTGTCCTACAAGACTATTGGCAATGGTTACGTCTAAGACAAGATGCTGGAAGAGGCTGCTGCAAAAAAATGTTATCATCTCAGGATACTTGAAATGCAAGAACTTGAACTCATGCCTGTTTTCACTTCTGGGGCCCAGGAGGAAGGCCCTCTGGGAGCCAAATGAATAGAAATCCTTAAATGATAACGCCATTATTGTAAGCAGTCTTGCTCCCCTGAAGTATCACGGATGGGGGGGGGTATTACTAGGGCAAAAACCTTGACAGTCTAAGAAATGCATACCATCAAGATTAGCTAAAATTCGACTGTAACTCAACAAACTTTAATACAAATGACAAAATGGGTGCTGAAAACAAACAAAAAAATCCTTAACTCAAGCTATGAGTTAAAGAACATGGAATTTAAATGCTGTAATGTAGGAATCATGTAATGAGAATGACTGCATTTTGCTGACATTACTTTTTTGCCTGGCAAAAGAAATAGCCTGTCTCAATCACTCGTTTTTGTTTTCTCCTGCTGAATGAGATAAATATTTAAGTCACCAAACTCCACCAAAAGTAGTATATGAAAAGGTTGGAGTAAATGTTTTTCATTGTGAAATGTGTTGATTGCAAAACCCCCTCTGTGTATATCGGGGAAGCCGTTAAGTGTTCTCTGTTTGTGCATATGCCAAATCGTGTCCTGCTCTGACAAACTCGCTGGAAAAACATATATGTCAAACACCTCTGTGGAGAGAAGGTTAGCAGCAGATAATTCTGCCGAAGAAGGAAACTTTGGTCCTTGCCTTTTTCTGTTCTGCTGACCAAACACCACCCTGAGTGGTCTTATTACATTTGAAGATGCTCCATCACTGTTTCATATCACATAAGGTTATTGAAAGTCATTTTGAAGCAAACAGAACACAAGTCATTACTATGGACATGAGAGAGGAAGGTGGGTAAAAATTATATTTGCACAAAAAATCAATGTAATCATAACATTGTATGTTTTATGTTGAGAAGGAAAACGTTTATGATGTCTGTTAGAAACCTGCTGTCTGTGAATTAATGTCACACTAAGATTGCTGCTCAACCCCTGAGACCATGACAGAGTCACCATGAATAAGTGACTTTCTCCCTTCTCTCATCTGACTCAAGTCATGGTAGACCCCAATTCCGTTGGCCTGTATGGAAGATGTAACCCCTATGAAAAGTTAGTAGAAAACATGGAAGGAAGTACATGAGAACTATATACACTTTGTTCTTTTTTTTTTAACCAACCAACCAAATATGTATATATATATTTTTATAAAGGTGATTACATTTGATTTTTAAATTGAAACAGTCTTTTAGAAATATTTTCATGTCAGTTTCCAATTCTGTTCAATTCGCCATGTGGCATACCTATTATTGTTTGTAATGTCTTGTATCTTGGTTTAAAAATCTGATAGGTGCAATTTCTATTGATACGTTTAACACGGTTTCTTCTATCGTTTTTTGTCCATGTTTATGTGGAGTCTTTTGTAAATGCTAGGACTGGTGCAACTTTGGTTATCAGACCCCATTCCAGTCTTGACTGATCATTTTTTCCTATTTTCCTAGGTGCTCATTCATCAGTGTTACATTTGTATATTTTGTCAGATATAGTGCAATGCCTACCAAAATGTGTTACAAACAGAATCAGAAATGTTGAAATGAAGGAAAAAATGTTTCTTCTTTGGGGTTTGATTTTGCCCTTCTTGTTGGGTAAGAGAAAGCAAGCCCCTTCTGAGGGCAGTGGGTACATTGAAGAGATCTGGATCTGGAGCTTAAGAGTACCTGGGTTGGAATCTGAGCTCTGCCACTTACTATCTGGGTGACCTTGGGCAAGTCCCTTCCCCTCTCTGATCCTGAGTTTACTTCTTCGTAAAGTGACAAATGGATTAGATAGCTTCCAAAACCCTTTTTAGCTTGAATCTCCCATTCTATGAACTGTGGACACTGTGAATAAACATAACAGAGGGGAATGGAAGATTTCATAAGTGCAGAACTGTTGTAGATATTTATAGCAGTGTTGTTAAAAAACCCCAAAGCTAGAATACATCTCTATTTCTAGGGGCTTCAAGTAAGAATTTCAAGTCCCATTTTGAAAGTAAAAGAAAATAAAGTTTGAAGCCATACTTCTGCCATAGATTATAGTCATACATTCATTCAAACAGTATTTACTATGTGTGAGGCACATGTCATTTATCATGTTGTATTACAGCACACAGTTGGGCATGGTAATGGATCCACCATCATACATGCCTGTTGTAGGCATCTGTCATTTATTTTTGTTGCAGATTTTATTAATGAATCAAAAGAGCCCAGCATAGGGTCACCACTAGCGGGTAGGGGAAGCAAAAAAAAAAAAAAAGTGTGGGAAGAACGCTGCCTAGTGTTGCTAGTAATAGTTTGTAGCTCTTTAGCCATTCTATTTAAGCCATGCTGGCAGAAAGGGAAAGGCATGATGGAATGTGCTACCGTGTGTTTGAATACTTTGGAATGATCTGAAGTAGAATTTCCACGTTAAGTTGTTCAGAATTGTTCTCCAAAGTAGGAAGATGGGATACACTGAGCAAAGACCATGTATTCCTTCGATACCAACTACATTCACACCAGCGAGATGTAAAACTGCAAAAATCCTTAAGGTGCTTAGCTGTGATATAGGCTGCTCCTGTGCCCGTATCGTTTATTGATGTGTAAGTCTTGTGCATTGTGCAGCTTGCGAAGGTGGAACTCCAATATCATGGGTTTTTTTTTTCCACCTAAGCAATTTTATACATTCACATGGTGGCTTTCTATAACAGAGATTGAATGTGAATGCTACTTTTTATGAATGCAAATTGTCTTTTTCATTACCAAAATTTTTCGTTTGATGTAATCAATAAACTTTGGTATGATCTCATTAACTTCTTGGCCTGGTTGTTTTTCAAAGATGCCAAGCTGGCATTGGAATTGTCTGGGAGCTTAATTAAGTTTCATCTGTTTGGGGAGAGGGAAATAAGAGTATTTCATTCCTTGGCAAACTCCTACATATAGCTGATACATAATGATAATAAATAACAACAATAATAAAACAGGAAGAAGTCTGTATCATCCCTGATGTCCTACTTACTGGAGTTGTCCTGAAGACATTTTCATCTAGCTAATAGAAAATAGCCTGTGTTCTCATGTGTCTGTTTGATTATCACCCCCGACCCCACCCTACTCCTACCCCTCACCCAATCCAGTCAATTTATCCAATTGTGAAATTTTGCCAGATAACCAAACCTAAAAAAATAGTAACAGTGAAACTTGTCCTACGATGATTTCTAAATTCACTCCTTGGAATGTGAAGAAGAGAAGCATAAAGCAATAGCTTTCCATGTATATCTACATGATGTTCTGCGCTCTGAAAAGTGCTTTACATCCATGATCTCATTAATTATTACCAGTAAGCTTTGCAAAGTGTTTATATGCATGGTCTTATTTAACACCCAAAACAATAATGGCTCACATTGAGAGTATTTTATGGTTTGCAAAAAGCACTTTACAGGATACATGATCTTGTTAATTCTCAGTAATAACAGTCGCTTAAATTGCACTTTAAGTTTTGCAAAGTGTTTTCCATGCATGATCATCTTTAGCAACAAAAATAATAACAGCTGACATTCATGTAGCATTTTTAGGATTTGCAAAGAACACTTTGTATACATGATCTCATTTGCTTCTCACAGCAAGCCTGTGTGAGGTGTAAGTGCTATTATTATTCCCATTTTATAAGTGAGGAAACTGAGGCCCCTGAAGAAATGAAGCCACCTCCTCAGGTTCACGCAGATAATTGTCTGAGGCAGAATGTCAACCAGGTCTTCCTGGGTCTAAGCCTGACTCTTTGTTTACTATACCACATACCATTTCTTTGAAATATATCCCTTTTTTATTGTTTTATATAAGCTGTACTCCCCATGTTATTGCAACGGTCATTATTGTGAATCTAGGCCTAATATTAGAACAATTACAACTTCCCTGGGCCTGCAGGAATCACCCTGGCCCTGGGAATGTGCCTAGCACCTGATCCCAGGCAGAGAAAACACAAGAGTGTGGAGGTTAACACCACCTGGGTCAAGCTGAGCTTGTGCCAAGTTCCCCCTTTGCCTAGAGACCCTGCTTAAACTGAAACTCCCAGCACCCATCAAGAGAAAAAGATTCTGAACCCTAATAGAAGTTCCATCTGTTTAGTGCAGATGATTTGCACCTGCTGTCACATCCCTAGAGGTTGGGACATTCTTGGGGCCAGAATTGTGGGGAACAGCTGTGACTTTTAGGGTTACTCACTAGAGAATAACTTCATCTCCATATATCTCTCAGTATAACCTGTGCTGGTAAGCTCATACCTGGCATGTGTCATTGTATCAGATCAGGGGAATCCGTTGAACCTAGGAACATGGCACCCATTGGATAATAGAGAGAAGGGGAAGAAATATGTGATGAATCAATATGGGGACATTTGAAAAGAGGCAGCCATGTTATTTTTTAAAACATATTTCCACATTAGTCATGCTGTGAAAGAAGAATCAGAACAAAAGGGAAAAACCAGGAGAAAGAAAATAGTGTGCTTCGATCTGCATTTAGACAGTTATTTCTCTGGATGTGGATAGCATTTTCTATCATGAGTCTTTTGGAATTGTTTTAGATCACTGCACTGCTGAGAAGAGCTAAGTCAATCACAGCTGATCATCACACAATGTGGCTGTTACTGTGTACAATGTTCTCCTGGTTCTGCTCACTTCATTCAGCATCAGTTCATGTAAGTCTTTCCAGATTTTTCTGAAATCATCCTGCTTGTCATTCCTTACAGCACGATAATATTCCATTACAATCATATACCATAACTTACTTGTTCAGCCATTCCCCAATTGATGGGCACCCCCTCAGTTTCCAATTCTTAGCCACCACAAAAAGAGCTGCTAAGTAATTTTGTACAAATAGGTTCTTTTCCCTTTTTAAAAAAAATCTCTTTGGGATATACACCTAGCTGTGGTATTGCTAGGGTATGCATAGTTCAAAGGATATGCACACTTTTATAACCCTTTGGGCATACATGAACTTGTTTTTTTTTTTAAATATATTTTTTTTCTCGTTAGTATAGTGGTGAGTATCTCTGCCTGTCACGCAGAAAACCAAGGTTCGATTCCCCGACGAGGAGCACAATGGAACGTTTGGGGCAGCTAGGTGGCACAGTAGATAGAACTCTGGCCTTGGAGTCAGGAGGACTTGAGTTCAAATCCGACCTCAGACACATGACACTTAACTAGCTGTGTGACCCTGGGCAAGTCATTTAACCCTGATTGCCTCACCAAAAAAAAAAAGAAGAAAAGAAAAATATATATTTTTTTTAAGGGAATTGGGGTTAAGTGGCTTGCTCAGGGTCACACAGCTAGTAAGTGTCAAGTGTTTGGTCTGAGGCCAGATTTGGACTCAGGTCCTCCTAACTTCAGGTCTGGTGCTCTATCCACTGCGCCACCTAGCTGCCCCTTAAAAACTATTTTGACAACTATTTCATTATCATTGGTTTCCTTTTCAATCTTCTGTATTTTATTTTTTACATTTAAAAACTTTGTTCTGAGAAGGAATCCATAGGCTTTGCCAGGGGACAAAGGGGTCTACAGCACAAAAGATGGTCTATGATCTGTACTAATGGAGGCTATTCAGGGAAAATACCTTTTGCATATTTGATACTTTGTTCCCAGTCCTCCAGTTAAAACTCTGCTCTGATGGATAACTATGGATTCACCCAGTGGAGTCCAGGCTTTGGCAGGTTACCCATTTGGGGAGGCTTTGAGTCCAGACCTGTCAGGCTATGTGGCTCTGTCACGTGAAGACCAACTTGCCTAAGCTCAGAGAGGCTCATCACCAGAGGGCCGGACATCAGCTGGTGAATCTCCCCATCCTGAGGATTCATGAAGATGGTTTAGGAAGGTAGAGGACAGGGGTTGTGGGCCTCTAGGTCCTCAAGTCCTGAATCCAAACTTCACAGAACAAATCCCCTTAATAAAAGGATTTGTTCTATAAAATTTGGACTCAGTCAAAAGGCTGCACCCGAGGACCTAGAGGGCCACATGTGGACTCCAGGCCACAGATTCCCCACCTCTGGTATAGGAGGTTGTGAATCCAAAGTCAGGTTTTTTTTTCTAAAACAAACCCCATGAGACAGGTATTGAAGATAGTACTGGTAATAGTACAATAGTACCCCTATTTTACAGCTTATGAGAT